TCCTCGCTGTTCTGAGGCCACTGTAAAGGTCTGAATATGAAACCCTCCTCCATCAAGAGGTTACATCTCAATATAAGGGACAAATCAATGAAGGAACATTGAGGAAAAAACTCTTTCATATCTCAGTTGATTCGATACGCAAGAGCATGCTGTGTATGAACAATTTCTAAAACGAGGTAAATTATTGACAAACAAGTTGCTGGAACAAGAATTTCAGCAGTCTCGTTTAAAGTCCTCATTTCGTAAGTTCTATGGTCGATACAATGGCTCAGCAAATACAATTTATCATTGAGTCAAATGCTCACTGACGTTTTTCATCCTAATTGTTAGTCCATTATTTATACACTGAATTGACGACGGATTTTTCCTTTATTTCCCGATCATGACAAGGAGCACACGGCGGGTGTGACTGGTCGGCAGGGGATGTTCACTCCTCCATGGCATATGATCCCACCTCCGATGTTTTGGAGGTCCGTTTGCTCTTCTCCTATTTTGTATTGTTTTATGGACTTTTGATTTTGGCTACTGTTCGTTGTCTCCATATGTTTCGTTCAATGTGACGTATCAGACATTCAGCTGTGTCGTTGCAGCTATGTCGCTGTGTTTCGAAAAGACATAAACATAAATGAGAATTAAAAGAAAATTCTGTATTTAAACAGAAAAGTCAATCTTTTGTAGTTTGCTTTATAGATATCAATGTTTTTCACTTTTGAGATAGGATTTTTTTTATTTCACTCGTCATTCGCATTCTTGTCAATATCAAAAATTTCTATTTTAATAGGTAAATACATCCATGTTCAACTTAAAAAAACATTGATATCATATAATTTTATATCACGAGAAAACTTCCTTTAAGGGGACAAAATATCGTTACAAAGAGACAGAATGATAAATTACTCGTAACTTTTTATTAAACCTTCTAATGAATAAAAAAAATTTTCTCATATTGAAGGATATTTAACTTGTTATAAGGAGAAATATTTTTGTCATAGCGAGATGATACTCGTGTGGTCGCAACACCTTTTATGTTGGAAAGAGGCATTTTCTCGTTATGAGGATATCTATCTAGCTTTTTTTTTTTCAAGTGAGACATCCTTACTTTTGTATATTTATAGATGCATTTTTGTATGTTTTAAAGGAAGGAACTATCTAAAAGTTGCATTAATTGATACACACCCTTTTCATAATATAAAATGTTTGTTATAATTATATTTATTCAATTATTGTAGCTTTTTCAATAAAAAATAAATTAAATATGTAGAATAAGTTTTATTTAAATATTTTAATATTTGTTCCAAGCCATCCTTGTCGTTGTCAAATATCATTGACTTAAAAGATTCTAATTTTAGTATCAGAATGTTTTAGAATATATTTTTTTGCCAATATTTGTGAAGGGAATGATAATATCTGAATAGCGATGGAATATTTACATAGATAAACCATTATATACATGTACTTTAAAGATAAAAAACAATTTTATTTATAGCTAAGGAATAAAAATAATAATAATGAAGATTATAAAGATAGCGCCATAATATAAATAATAATTTTAAAAGAAATTAATCGTTTAAGTATTAATTTATATATCAACTAACCATGAAGATTTTTTATTTAGTTCTTTATATTATATTATTATTAAAAGAGTACATCCTAAAAAAAATTAAATGAACAGCAATAATATTACAATTCTTTAGCAGTAAATATTGAAGTTATCGGCACATGAAACCTTAAGCGCAGATAGAAAGAGTCCATTCTGTTTACTTGTTTTCATATTTTAGTAACATTGTAATAAATCCGTCTTACCGTTATCATATAATTTTATCAGGGTATTCGGATTGATACATATTTCTGCTCCGTTAGACACGATCATATGTTCAGTCGTTAAGGTGTATTTCTCGTCATTAGGAAACCTACCCATGAAAGCTCTCTATGCCCCGGGGTAGAATCTTCTGAGTAATCAATCATACTGTATTTAATACTTCTACATAACTAGCTGTCTTACATCACTAAATGATCTGCTGTTGTATAGACACAAAATCGCAACCCGCTTACGTCTGGTAAGATTATTTTTGTCAATATTAACTGAATAATATTTATTTTAGTAAATTTATTTTCTTTGTATTTTGTTTTATTATGTCGAAGAAAAGATTTACTCATAGCTGTACGAGTAAAAGTAGTTAAAAGTAATTGCATGTTGTTTTTTTTTTCATTCAGCAGCTTCAGAAGCATTTAACATTTTTTTTCCAAACTTTAGATAAAATTCATTTAATTTTTTTTTCTTAATTTGAGTTTGCTGTGGAATTTTTTTTCTATATCTTTACGAAGAAATTATCACTAAATATAATGTATTTTATTTTATTTATTTATTTATTTTGTGGCAATCTGATAAAATATCCTTTGCGCTTCTTTTATCGGCAATGAAACTAAGTACCCTTTACAAAATATTTAAGCGCAAGATTTTCTTTAATTATATTTTGTTCCTTAGAAGCCTACTCCAAGATAGAAACAGAAATGTTTGGTTTATTGAGTAATAATTTAATTTTACTTGTAACACGTTATTTGATTGGATAAAAGATTTTATCCATTTTGTATAACATAACTTGCCTACGACACAATCAGTTACGTCAAAAAACGTATTACTCCGCTTGACGTTACTTTTAAAATTAAATCAATGTGAAGCCTTATTCTGGGGGAAAAATTGTCTCATTGTCTGCACTGAAATTAAATTATAAGAATATACATCTCTGCACATGCATAAACCGCTTTTTATAAAGATGTTCACTACCTAGATTTCAATCTGGAATATACATTTCTGTTTTCCTGAAAAGTTATTACTAAATCAATCCTATGTAAAATGTTAAGCAAAAAAAAAAATCTATCCCAACTGTCTTAGGTCATTTTCTCTAAAATATACATTTACACATCGAGGGTTTAAGCAGGCTTATGCATACTAGAGAAATAGATGTTCAGTAAACGTTGAAACTTTTACTTCCCTATCTGGTTGATTTATTTAATTACAAAAATCTTTATACAAACTTTTTACCAAAATTTGACTTTGAAAAAGTTAAGAACTGTCCACTAACCTTTAGGGCGCCACAACCACTCAGTCTCTGCTTCAAATTCTTAATTAATTTTAAATCTTGTCACTGAATAATTATCTCTTTCTAGGAAAATAAGCCCAACTTTTTATATATTTTTTTATTTACATGTATATACACCAGAGTTATGATAAAATGTGTTGTGCCTTGACTTGCTAATATTACATTCGTGTTAACGTTCAGTGAAGGCAAGCTGCTGTCATTCCCACTGTCAAATGAATTTGTTTATAACTTGTTTTCCAACAATTTTAGAAAGATTCTTAAGTTATAATATTCATAAATGCGATATTGAATTCATTTAAAATTTAAAGTTAGATTTATATATAAGAAAATCGTTCTTCACTTTGAATGCATTTTTGTGAGTATCTGAATATGTAAGCAACAGAGCAAAATGATATCTAATCTACAATAGGTCTACACTTCATTTCTTAAACAATAACATGTTTCTAAAACGATGTAAATTGTTGGCAAACAAGTTGATGAAACAAGAATATCTGCAGTCTCGTTTAAAGTCATCATTTTGTAAGTTCTTTGTCGATGCAATGATCGATAATGACCTTGTCAGCAAATACAATTTATCATTGAGTCAAATGCTGACTGACGTTTTTCATACTTATTGTTCGTCCATTATTTATACACTGAATTGACGACGGATTTTCCCGTTAATTCCCGATCATGACAAGGAGCACACGGCGGGTGTGACCGGTCAGCAGGGCATACTCACTCCATCATAGTACCTGATCCCACCTCTGATGTTTTAGAGGTCCGTGTTTGCTCTGCTCTTATGTTGTATTGTTTTATGGACCTTGATATTGAATACGTATGTATGAAAAATTATTCATACGTAGAGCATGCTCTTGCGTATCGAATCAACTGAGATATATAAACTTCTAAATCCTAATGCAGGCGATGAAGGTATATGGCTGCATAAGTAAGGGATGTTGACGATAGAAAAGTTAAAGTCATCACGTTTGTCATAGAGCTTGGTAGTAAAATTACCATTAATGTACATCTACCTCTCAAAACTACTTACAAATGAGAATCATCTACAACTTTAAGGATTTCTCCTTCTACAGGGATTACTTACTAATCCATGGCATATGATCCCAGTGCTTTTGTTTTAAAAGTCCATGTTTACTCTACTATAAGACTGTATTGTTTCAATTTTTGTTTATATTGGCTTCTATTTGTTATCCTTATATATTCCTTTATCTGTGTAAACATTAGAATGGATAAAATGAATCAGTCAAGATTGTTACATGCTTTATTTTCTCCATTATCTTTAAATGTTTCTTTCGAATGATTTGCCCTAATACTGTATTATATCTTTATGAATGCGTTAATTTTTTTTTTCTTTTAGAATTTTTCAATCAAGTTCTGAAACATATTAAATTTGAATTCAGTTGTACTAAGTCTCCATTGCAGAAGGAGGGTTGTGTTATTGACATGTTACCTGCGCCTCAATGTTACACATTTTATTAGATTGAAATGATTAGCGATAGGAAACTCTAAAGACGGGTTGAATCCAACCATGACGGAGAAGGACTTTCTTGAAAATACCGAAACATTATAACTATAATTTAAAAATAAAAACAGAAAAAGTTCTGCTTAATATATTTTGAAATGAAAAAGTGTGTTTTTAGATGACATTTCTAAGAGAATTATACGAAACGTTCTGCTGTCTTGTGCGAGTAAGGTTTGCATGTTTAAATGAACTCTTTTTCTAGGAAACGTTTCTCTAGCTCCATCTTTCTTCTCTCTCCTTTCTGTCCCCTATGTTCTTTAGCTGAAAAACAGACCTGTGCCTTGATATGACAGTTTATTATCTTCGTGTAAGGTTAATTACTTGTTTAAGGCTATTTATCATTTGAACAAATTATAAATACCTTCCTATTCTTTCAGATGCCTTTACTCCCTCGGAACCCGAGAATCCTCAAGGTAAAGCAACCATTATCATATTTTCCTACATCAATATTTTGTTAACAATATCTTATTACAAAAAGGTCAATTGAAAAATTACAGGTGCTCCGCGGAGTAATAAACTCATAACGAATGTTTCTTCTTTCAAGTGATTTTTGATCTGTTTTTATAATGTCGACTTCACAAGCTCCCCTTTTTAACGTATAAGGTTTTAATCGATGCTATCGTCTTTTTGATTAAATGATACGTAATATTTGCTTGAGGTCAAATATTGAAACTATTGTACAATCAATATACGTGCTGACATTGACTGACTTTCATGTTTATGAAAGGCGTTGTTGCTTTCATAGCCAAAATTGCATCAATTGATCAATACCAAAGCGTCGCGGCGGGTGTGTCTCTCAACAGGAGATGCTCATTCCTCCTAGGCACCTTATCCCTGCTCTGGGATTTCCAGAGATTCGTTGTTCGGTATCTATCCTTTGCATTCAGAAGTTTCAGGATGGGTTTGAGTAGGTTGTCGCCTGCACAAATTGGTGATTAAATAACATAGAATTCTGTATGTCCATTTAAATAATCTCTGAATTAAACCACAGCCAAACAACAAAATGCTTATTCTGTTAACCATTGGAGTGGAATTCACGTTCGCACGAACATATACCTACATTGCATGACACAGCAATTTGAACATTGTTGTAATGTTTTTAAGTTTGAGAAATTGCTTGATAGAAAAACCACTACTATTTTTTTTAATCAAGGTAACGGAGTAGTTTGCAAAAAATAATTAATTTCTAATCATTTATCAGTGCCGGAACCATGCCATCCACTGTTTAATGAAAAAGACAGAGAAAAAATAGGCAGGTTTACCATCAGTGGTATACATGTACTTTTATCATGTACTTCTGCTTGCAAGATTTTTTTAGAGTTGAGCAATATCGGTAAAGAATCACTACAATTTATAGGTGGAACAAATCCACTTAAACTTCGAATAACATGGCAAGTCAACAGACTTGTCTTGTGTTTTTATATTAGGAGCATGAAACTAATATCCTAAAACTGCTTTAAACGAAAATCAGTAAGCACACAAATTTAACAGGAAAAACAAAATCAACCATGAAAAAATATCAAATATTTAATAACAAGATAACTCACATCATCAAAGTCAGTAAAGCATAAATATCAGAAAGCTCTTCGCCGAGGGAGATATTGGGCCAAGTTTATAATTACTTTTGATGTCGATGCCTTCAACCTCCCCCGCTAAAAAGGCACCTGAAGGACGAACTCGCTTCCAGGAGCCGAGTGTGACTTGTTCGACGCAGACGACCGTAATATTATTTCTGTTTGACAATGAAATCCTGGGTATAATTATTATTTCTGGTAGATCTACGAGGTGTAGGTGGCAATTCGGAATGTACACAGGATGTGGTTACGAGGTTACCCTTAGATGATCAACTGTAAATATAGATAAAAAGGAGGTTTCTGAAACTTTTTAATGACAGTCGACTGAGTTTGACGATCATGTCAGACCAAACTCTTTTCTATATACTGCCATGGTTAATCGGTCCTCGCTGTTTTTCTGGCTTGTAAATTTAAGTCTTTCACCACTAGAAATAGCCTATAAATAATTGACAGATATTAATGCCCAATTTGTTTTGGATGGATCTTTAAAAAAACTAATTGTTTCTAAATAATTAACAACTACGGAGAAAACTATGATACAAATATATAGGCTTGATGCACTACTTCTTATAAATGTATATGATTTACAATGTACTTAGATTCAAGTAAAAACAATCTGCATAGAGATTCTAGTTAAACAACCTGTATAGAGAGCATAGATGTAATGATTAACAGAAATTACTTCTTTAAAATAAATCATTTTCATTTCTTTATATACGTATTTATATAATTTATTTCATTTATATATATTATTTTATTACATTGTTTGTTCATATGTGTTTCCTCTACAGCGCTGATAGTATAGTTTATTCATTCCGCGTATTTAAGTAGTAAACTGCTTAGCTAATCTTAAGAAATTGCATACCATCAATAATTATTTCGAAATCAAAAGTCTTCCGACATGTGCACGTAAATCCTTGACAGCAAAAGTTTATCAATCTAGATCTGTATATCCGCATTGTCATGTGACCAAGTTGCTAAGCAAAAGGAAACGACCCATTTTCGCAGCACATTTGACTTTTCCTTCTTATTAAAAAAAAGAAAATATTTGATAGTCATGAAGCTACAATTAATTTAGTTGAGAGTCATAACGATTCTAGCATTTCATGGAATTTAAAAGGGCATTTAAAACATTAATCACTAAAAATACTAATTTTGAATAAATTTTTTTGTTAAATATCATAAGTTTCTCTAATTTATATTTGAAGATTAATTTTATTCATCACTCATGGGGATAGAATAATCATACATAAAGGTTTAATTGTTGTAAAATTAAGAACATTTACAATTTGATGGTTTGTTTCATTGTAAAACAATTTGGGAGTGAAAAACTTTTTTTCGTAAAGACCGCTAAAACGCGCTGGCGTATTTACCTATCACCCCATGCCTTCGTTACTACCGTCGGTGTTCATATGTCGCGGAGGAAAACGCAATGTATCTAAATCAACAGAGTAATTGATTGCGCATCACCATTATTTATTATACCTGATAATCTAATTCGTTGTGAGCACCTGTTAAGCTAAACGATAAAGAAATCGATTGACTCGGCAACTTTGAAACATTTGCTTCGATCCTCGTTTTCCGTAAGCGTTTGTATTTATTTCTGTATACCTGTTCCCCCTGCATGACTTGTCACCTGTCTGTGTGTATTTACAATTAATGCATTAAACAGGTCAAGTGTTCTCCTGCTGTCTCGCGCTTTTCATTGGCTGCTCGCTTTTTACCTGTATTGTCAAAGCTAAAAGAGCGTAGTAGTGACATACATTTGTGAATGAAATAGTTCGGTGGCTATGAAGGCAGCCAATCAGATTACCTGGCTGACTTCATTGGCACAGCTAGGTGTTTATTTATATCTAGCTACACGTGTATGATTATCCAATTGTATTGTTCTCTTCTACAGGAAGTGACGTAGTTTTCCCTGTTGGCCATGTGACTACCAATTTGACAATGCCGTCTGTTAGCCCATCTCAATATGTATGTATCCAAGAAACTAGATGCACATACTTTTTTTTCTTTGCTGAATCAAAATGATTATTTCTGCTCCACAATGTGTCAAGGTGATACGGAAGTGCATTTTTCTTATGCACTAGTTAAACTGGAATATTATTTTCCAAAAATTTAGCGCTTTTTGTGAAAATATATTAAATACAAGGAAAATAATTTTTTCTTATCATTTTTGCATTTGCAGATTTGCGATATGCTTGATCCATTTCTTGAGGAGCCACTAATAGAAGGAACCGAATATACAAGCCAACAACAGCAAAGTCATTTTGAAAATATTGTGGATCCTTTATTTTGTTCTAACAATAATAATAGTTACAATACGACGGACTCGGCTAAAATGCGCGGGGAATCCCCGGACACAGCCTGTAAAGTGACGGATTCCGCGGACTTTTACCAGGGGTACCAAGCTCAATCGTACCCCACGGAATACTCCGACGGCCAAGAACGGCTGACTCACCAGGGGAATTATGAAGTTCCCTACTGTGCAAAAATGATGGACAATAGTAACGTGTGTGATGAGAGATCGCCAATATACGACAGACAATATCCACAAAATAAAAGAACCAAGTTCTCAGGTAAAATCAATTTTATTTTATTTCAATTGATTCTTCTCACTGATTTTACAAAATATGCACAATTATGTTATAACAATTTATATAGAATTAACACTAACTTTGTAATTAATATCTGATATATTGCTAATAATAACAGGATCGATGAACTAAAATTATCATGAATTTTTTATCAATTTTCCATGAATCTGTCTAAATAAACTCATTTTCTTTTATTCGAACTGCAACAATAGTAATGTATAGTGACACGGAACGAAATTAAATCCTGAAAATTTAAATCATTTGTGTTAAGTATCATTTCACTATGGCATATAAAGAAATCTTTAATTATGAATGACGCGATAATGGTCCACGAATCACAGCTTTACGAATTATATTTGTTTTATATTCTAAAAAACAATGCTGCTACTTTTTGAGATTTTTTTTTAAGAGAGATCTTTCCTAGAAATTTTATTACAAGTTATCACCTGGGAGTAGATTTTTTTTAATTTTTCTGTGAAACATCAGTAATTTTTTTTTATCGAGAAGTTAATTGACATGGAATGGAGTATCTCATTAATAAACCTACAATTCAATGCAAGAACAACTATCAGTGATTGTACTCTGACAAGGGTGACAATAACTTCGACCATATTAAAAATATCCTGGTCCTTCAGTGATTATATCATTTTGAATAACAATTTGTTCTTTTCTATAAAAACTTTAATAATTAATATCGGAGAGAAAATGTTTTAAACGCTAGTCCTTTTGATTTATGAATCCATAGAAAACAAATTTTAATTGCAAATATTTGATCAATGATTAGATTGATACGACCTGACTCTAGTTTGCTTTAGATCTCTAATGTACCGCCTTCACCCCACGGAGAACCGTGGCACTAAAACTAAAGATCAAAAAGTTCACTGAAGAACAATAGCGTGTCGGGGGTTGTTAACACGGCTCCTAGCCATGTCCAACAAGACCAAAACGCGTTGAACGAAGTATTCTGTATTAATTCTGGTCCGAGCGGAGCTTGTTCTATCCCGAATTTTATCCATAAAAGATTAATTTTTTTTATATAAATAGTCATCATTTAATTTGATTGGATTGAAAAACAAAAGATAATAGATTGTACTTGATGACCACTGTTGAATTCCATTTTATGCTTTTTCTACAGATTCCAATGAATTTGGCAGTCGCTGGTCAAATAAACATCCAGAAAACTGGTCCTCACAAGAAGTGCTGGACTGGGTCTTTTATGCTGCTGAGAAAAATGGAATCGACTGTGAGCATCTGTACGCCGAGAACTTTCGGAATATCGTCGGGATTGACCTTTGTAAGATGGGACTGGATGGATTTTTGAGACTTGAGCCTAACTATGGCCAACTATTTTACAAAATGTTCCGGGATCTGTGTGACGGAAGTGAGTATTATTTACGGTTGCTAGGTGACATTTTAAGTACACCAATGTCGCAGCATCCAAACTGTAATTTTAGATATATCGTGTATAACTACTTTCATTATGCAATTTTAATCATGTTTTAGTGTACTTCCAACCAAGGAACGACACACCTGTCCATCACAGTCCCAAGGCCAGAGATCTGAGTTACTCCCCGAACAAACCCAGGGAACACTTAGTCATGAATTCCGAATCTACGCCCCTGGCACCGTCATATTATACCGTCCAAGGTTATTATATAATACTGAATTAAAATGAAACATCTCTCATTTTTAAAAATTCTAGCTCTATTTTATTGCCAAGTATGGTATAATTATTGATTATTAATTTATTATTGATATTTGTTCACTCAGTTAATGTCTTGATGTGTTTTATTAACAGATATGGCAAAAATGGAGACAACGCCATCACAATATACAATGTATGAAGTTCCAGGAATGACCCCGTTTAAATGCCAAAACATGCCTCCGATGCCAAATCCATTTCAAGGTAAGACAAATAAAAATTTAGAATTTTGAAGAAATAATTTCAAAAGAATAAAAATTTAAAACAGGCATAAATTTGAGGTGGCTTATTATACAAATTTTTTGAATCAACATATTTACAAAATCTAATTGGCAGTCTGTTCTTTTTTCTTCACAGCGTCTCATTTGAAGCATCACCCCTTGCCCCCATACGGACACATTCCTTCACAGATCATGTACCCAAACTTCAGTATGGCCCGGCGCTTGCCCTACGGTCTCCCCGAAGATCATCTCCACCAACCAATTCGCCGCCGTCCGGGACGACCCAGGATCAAGAGCCAGCCCACGGATGACGAGAACGCCAGAGAGAAGAAAGGTAGCTGTAGCTAGAGTTTTTACTTTTTATTTTCCGTAATGATTTTTTTACTGTTTATATCATTTTTTATTCAAAAAGTATTATAACTATTGATATTTTGATCTTCAGCTAAGAATCAACATCTATGGGAGTTCATCTACGAAATTCTGATGAATCCAATGTATAACCCTCAGTTCTTGAGATGGGAAAATCAGAGAGAGGGCGTGTTCCGGTTCGTCCAATCAGAGGCCGTCGCCCAACTGTGGGGAGGGCTAAAAAACAACGAAAATATGACCTACGAAAAACTAAGTCGAGCTATGAGGTGAGTTAATTGTTCATGTCCTCACTATTACTAATCTAAAGAGAATTATTTTTGGACGTGCGGTTATTTCGCCCATTCATAAGTTTACTAGATACGCTTGATTTGACCTGAATCATCACAGGCCTAGTTGACCATTTCCTTATTTCTCTGTCTGTCTCGGGATAAATTATTATGTTGATATAAAAAAAGAGATTGTAAAATCAATCCATTGAACGATAATTATCAATGAATGGGCGTTCAGGTGACTCAGATTTGTGTCAATATCGTGCTCGTCCCCCCACGCATCTAAAGTTATCAAAAAATCTCAGAAATCCTTCCAATGTACATGTACAAATTAAATAAATTCACAATTTTTCTCCAATAATAAAAATAGGTCTAGGTCAGAAAGTGAGCCTGACATGGCCAATATTAACCAGTTGAATAGTTTGACGTAGAAGATTGTTGTATAAACACGACATTACGTCACGATGTCCGGTTTGAACAGAGAAACACTTGATTTTTGTTTGTTATAAATTCCAACAATCAAAAACAATGACATTTGCTTCTTAAGAAGTTGACGTACAGAACAACACAATGTCCTAGATTTATCAGACGAACTATAATTATTGCTTTGCCTGAAAGGCGCATTTGGTCATGATTAGAAAGAGCACAAGATAAAAGTTTAGGTTGATATGTATCAATTGCAATCTCTGTTGTAATCGTTAATTATGATCTTTCTTGTTAATTTTGTAGACACTACTACAAAAGGGGGATTTTGGAAAGAGTAGAAGGAAGAAGACTAGTGTATAAATTCTCTAGGGTAGCGATGGAGCGAGTGAGGGAGAAACGCCACTCCATTTGACTGACTTCAAATGAGAATTGTGTTAATGTTTGCAAATAATCTGTGAACTTTTTCACTGACAAAACAAGCCACAGAGAAGCTTGTGTGGATAATATCCATCAAGAGTTTCCACTGGTGAGAAGATTCTGCCGAATGACCGGGAACACTTGGCTAGCCAATTCTAGTCATTCGTTTGTACTCTAGTCCCATGGCGTGTTCGGGTTCAAGTGCGCATGCGTTATCAAAGCGTATTGAAGCAACCCATAGCGTATGAATTGTCATGCTATGTTATAAAACCAGAATAATAGCATAAACTTGGTTAAGGAATATATTTCCTTTTAATGACTATATTAAAATGTTTTATTGATACGACTGGTATGTTTATTATTTATTGTATTTAATGTCCATGTAATGGAGAGAAAGTTTGCAACATTTTAATATTTTTGTACATTATGCAATAGTGTGCTAAGCTAATTTAATTTATATGTGTAATTTTTCATTCCTGTTATTGTGAGGACGGAAACATTAACTATAATTTTTCCTACTTAACATGTTTTATGATACTATGTTTCATAACCTTTTTAATGGAAGACCTTGGTTAAGAAATTAACGGTTATTTCGGTTATGACGTAACATTCTTGTCATACCCTTGTGACTGGTCTTACTTAACAATACGCTGTATATAATGAGAACTTTCATGCCAATTATGCTTGTAATAAGATTTTAAAAAACATTGAGGGTAAAATAGAATACGAAAAATTTTATATTGAATAACTTATACATTTTAACAAAGGAAATGCTATCCTTATGCTTGAAATGAACGTTGATGAAAAAATCAAATATTTATGTACATAAAAACCAACATTTCTTTGTACTTTATGAAGAAATGAATTTTTGCAGCAATATTTATGTGTACGATAAAATATTTTTATATGTCTCTAATGAATCTCATGTGCTTTTTGTTGTTGTAAATTATTTTTGTACGTTATTTATACATGATGTCAATTTCCGCTTCTGTAAAGTAAAAAAACAGCGGCGGCAACAGCAGAATTTGCTATGTTAGTATTTATTTCTTGTAAAATAAACTTTAAAACGCTTTATCTTTTCCGTTTTCATTTTAACGCAGTAGAAAATAAATTAATTTTGAAGTTTATATAACCTAAAGATGATATCAAAATTCTGTTCACAGTCCTAAGACTAATATAAATTAATAAAGCAGGTAAAAATGATACATTCTAGAAACAGCTGGTAAAGACATTTTCCAAGGTGATTAATGAAGAAGTTTGCGTAACTATTCTCTATTCCAACTCCTTACTCCTTTTCTAATAAAACTCTTCAATAGTGTTTGGAATTGCTACCCTCAATGTTGAGCCAAAAAACACAAGAAGACTTATGCTTTATCTTTTCCGTTTTCTTTTTAACGCAGTAGAAAATAAATCAATTTTGAAGTTTATATAACATAAAGATGATATCAAAATTCTGTTCACAGTCATAAGACTAATATCATAAATTAGTAAAGCAGGTAAAAATGATACCTTCTCTATTCCAACTCCTTACTCCTTTTCTAATAAGACTCTTCAATAGTGTTTAGAATTGCTACCCTCAATTTGAGCCAAAAACACAAGAAGACATACAACCTTTACAATTTTGGCTTTTTTTGGAGTTGACCAAAGCACGTGTAAGAAAGATACACGTGTAAAGAACATGACAATGTCCGTGTTCTGGGGCTACAGATGTTACAACTTTTAAAAATTCCTTTAGAAGGATGTTATACGAGAGAAAAGTAATACTTAAAATGTCCTCCTTTTCTGACAAATGGAAGTATAATAAATTTATCAAAAACGCTAGAGTATATTTTTCTTTTCCTCTGCGTGAATCATAATGCGAAAATATGCATGCTAATACAACATATATAACAAAATAAATAAAGCATTAAAATGATTGTTACTAGCTTCATTTATTCTCTTTTACGAGTACATAAATGAATGTGATAAAGAAATCCAAAATAAAAAAGGACTTTCTGGGAATGCATATTTGTATATGTAATGACTGTGACTTCAGGAAACATTTTGTTATTCAAATTTATAAATTTTTTTAAAAAATTAAAGAATTCTAATTTCAAAATTTCATGTGATTCTAAGACTTTTCTCTTTTAAATTTATTTTAGCCTGACTGTAAACAGTTAGCCAGGCTCAAATGCAAATAACTTTTTACCAACTGCTAACCATAAATAATCTTAATTATATTCTTATAAGTAACATAATTGATGCCAGTAGACATAATCTGTTTCAAATGCTGGAAATATTTTTGGTTTAAAAAATGTTAAGAAATTCTTTTTAACCATTGCTTAGCATGCAAATCATGAAACATATGGAGATATCGAACAATATTGAAGATCAAAGGTCCATTAAACAATATAAAAAAGGAACAGAGCAAACACGGACCTCCATAACGTAAGAGGTGGGATCAGGTGCCATGGAGGAGTGAGTATCTCCTGCTGACCGGTCACACACACCGTGTGCTCCTTGTCATGATCGGGAAATAACGGGAAAATCGTCGTCAATTCACTGTATAAATAATGGACAAACAATAATTACGAAAAACGTCAGTCAGCATATGAATTAATAAAAAATTGTATTTGCTGACAAGGTCATTGTATCGACCAAAGAACTTACGAAATGATGACTTTAAACGAGACTGCCGATATTCTTGTTTCATCAACTCGTTTGTCGATAATTTACCTCGTTTCATAAATTGTTCATAGAGCATGCTCTTGCGTATCGAATCAACTGAGATATATAAACTCCACAACAGGTGATGAAGATATACTGCTGCATAAGTAAGGGAAGTTGACTATTGAAAAGATAAAGTCATCACGTTTATAACAGAGTTGATTGTTAAATTACCATTAACGTCTTTTCAATTAAAATATCCAAATATGAAACAGATGTTTCAGACTCTATCTTTTATCTCAAGCTCACTGTAATATGTCGAATCGACATAAGATTGTTAATTGTCAATACGTCGTCGATATATCTAAATGTTGAGTTGAAGGTCACAGCATCTTTTTGATATCAACTTCAGAGCTTGTGTGTACAATCAGAATGTTTTTAAGGTAGGATTCTTCTCTGGTTTCTGACTAGATGAAACACTCAAAGTATATTTGCTTATATGTCTTATATATTGAGGTGTAAGGAATTTAAAAGATCATATTTTTCTTTCCTCATCACAATTGTACAACTTTAAATGGAAATGGTAAACTGCGTTTGAAAACTAGCAGGGACTATATATGGTGGCGTATGAAAATATCTTCTTTTCTGCCTCTCAAAATTATAATTATGTAGAACAATGAATTTAGTTATAATTTTTACACAATCGAAGTCTTGGAAAAAAATTTCAAATGTAAGTTAGATTAATAATGAGGGACTAAACTTTTAAAATATATCAAATAAATATGATTTTTCAAACAAACTAGAACTCTATTAGCTTTTAAACGCTTCCTATCAAAGTGCAGATTTGAGCCAAAAATCCATAAAAAGTATTTTTTCTCTCTTAGTAAACGATCAAAACTTTTTGTTTTTGTATCATTTTGTACATTTATAAGACTACTTTATTATATGTGAAAATAAGGAAAAGTTAAATATAGGAAGCATATGAAAATAACTAACATATCCTAAAAAAATTAAGAAAAACAGAGAAAATTCGGATTAGCCAATATCCAGTTAAGTTGAATTATTTGTGTAAATTTGGTAATATCATGCTATAGACCCGATATAGTAATATGTTTTTATGCAAAAAGAACAATAATTAAACTTTTGGATTAGAAGTAGGTATCACATGATTGGCAATAGTTATTTTTTATTCTTAATGTCAAGGAAAAAGATAAAGACCTTGACCTGACCTTGTCCTTTATATAAAACGGTCAAATTTAATCTCACTGATACTATCACTTACTGGTATTGTCTTCTTGATTCTGTGAAAATTTCATTAATTTTTAAATATTAGAAATATGAGAAGAATCCTACCTTAACATATATACATCAAGTCTTAAGTTATCTTAAAAAGATTTCTAGAGGTGGGATCTGGCAGGTACCCAAGAGAAGTGAGCATCCCCTGTTGACAAATCACACCAGCCGTGAGACTTGGTCATCGATCGAAGACTATATTAAACTTCTTAATGAGAAACACCAGCACCTGATGTCAACTTCAGAGAGCATGTGTGCAGAATCACTGTAATGTTTAACGATGTAAATTTGTATAATTACCAATCAGAAGATAGAAAAATTCCTTCTTCTTTTTTAAAATGAAGAATCAGTTGTCTATGATTTCAAAAAGCATAGCTCTTTTGTTGCTAAATAGTATGTTGATTTTTTAATATTCGCATGTCAAAATGTGTTATATAAAAGCATCGGGGTAAAGAAATATTTATCTACATTTGTTCAACAGTCTGTTTACAAGTAAGCTTTGTATGTTTAATGTTATATTTTTCAATGAATTCAAATTCATTCATTGTTTGTGCAATTAGTGAAATAAATATCCTTCTCTTGAATTTTCGATTGTAACCTCTTTGTAAATATTTTTTTAAACGTACACATAAGTCCACTTATACATGTACCAGTAAAATAAAAATGGAAGCAAGTCGACCCCTATTTCTTATGTCTATATTATTTGACAGATGGTTAATTTGCAAGATTCATATCAACTGATACATTAACGTGCAATCTGACAAAAGGTATCTTGTTCCAAGAAACACAACTCTTGATATAAGTTTTATACAAAATTTCCCCTCTTTATCTCTCCTTGTAAATATAACAGCTAAACATAAACAATAACTTTTTTCAGCGAAAAACAAGATTTCAACAAATGACATTGTTGTGAATTCACGACATCCTTCAAATCCTTTCAGTTTTAATTTTAAAAATAATCATATCTTAATTTTTTGTCATCTAATTCAATATTATTCTGCAACTTTACAGAAATCTTTCAGTAAATAATCAAGTAAAATACTAACAGGCTCTTTTTTAATTGTACGTACAATTTTGTTTGTTACACAGCCAACAATTTCATATTAGCCTAGTTTTATCCATAAATATCATCATTAGTACAAATATTTCTCTGAAGCTTTATACAACACTGTTGTTTAAAGATATTTTCCCGGAAATGCCACGTCCTGGAGTTCAGAGAAAGCAACAGACAATTGACGTGTAATTTTTTGTCAGGTTTCATGTTTTTAAAAAAAATATGTCTTTTGTGTTTGCATTTATTAACAGTATGTCATCTTTGTTATTTAGTATGTTTCATCTGTTTCATATTTGAATATTTTTCTAGAAAAGACGTTAATGGTAAGCATAGACCTAAAGTAGATCCCTCTCCTTTAGATCAATATGGTAACCTAACAACAAAGCTTTATGATAAACGTGCTTACTTCAACTTCTGATAATCAACTTTCTTTACCTATGTTGTGATATACCCTCATCACATTCAAATGGAGTTAATTCGATACCTTAGAGCATGTTCAAGGTGCGAAGAATTTCCTAAACGTGGCAAGCTATTGACCAAAAAGTTGATGGACCAAGAATATCAACAGTATCCTTTAAAGTCATCATTTCGCAAGTTCTTAAGTCAATACAAAGACCTCGTCAGCAAATATAATCTATCGTTAAGACTAAAGCTGACAAACGTTTTTCATACTAATTATTAGGCAATTATTTACACAATTAATTGTCTTCCGTGTTTGTCGATCATGACAAGGCCAGGAGAACAAGTGACTGGTCGGCAGGGATTGCTATATCTCCTTTGGCCCCTTATCCCACCTCTGTATTAAAGGTCCGCTTTTGACCTGCTCCTGATTTATATTCCTAGAATGGACGTATAAACTTAAATGCTCTTATCTCGATATTCCATTTCTATTGTTTTTTTTTCTATCCAAAAAATCTTAGCTTTAAATTATTTTAACAATTACCTATCTTTTGATACATAGCGCTTTCTGTTTCTGATAAACAACGTATCGTATCCCTATGTAATATTGTATAACAATGTTTCACTTAAAAGCTTACTTATAAACCACTGATTGTATAATTTTTCCTGCAATCTTCTAAATAGGAATTTATGACGAAGGATTATTTTAATTTGATAGTATGGAATTGATAAAATATGAATATAAAATGGAAGACGTAAGTGGACATGTAGGACACCTGTTTTCAATTATGGTACATCCTTTAAGCTGAAGATATTATATGATACTGTAATCCAATGGATATTTTATAATCTTAATTAAATGAAAACGATATTTTTTTTCTGATTAAAAGAAAAAGATGTAAAAAGATTTAATATTAAGATTAGAAATATTAAAATCCGTTTAAATTAATTGCTTATCATAAACACTTAACTAACTCAAGCACTTTTTACATTTTGTATTTTACTTTTCAATCTTAAAATAATTTTGTTCTGCATATAATTACAATACAAATTACTATCAAATATCAATTCATTTTCTAAAAATAAATGAAATCGCAAAAATATCACATTTGGCTGATATAATTCGAACTAAGCCAGGTAACCGTAGCGAAGTTTTAATGAAATTGTAGTAATAAGTTAGTAATTCCTCGATACAAAATGTTTGAGACTTCAATGTTGTGTCAATTCCTGGTAAATAAAAGTTAAATGTGACTCTGACAAGTCAATTACAACGGCAATTGAATTTACGAAAACCTAACGTTAACTAAAGTTTTTAAATTCCTGTAACATTGATTTAGTTTTGTGCAGATTACCCCGGGCCCCATTGATTGACCGACTGTACTTAAAGCTTGTCTTGTAATTATTGAATAAGTCGGAGAGATAAATATCACATAGCGAGTGATAGCGAATATTACAACATACTGTTTTATATTTAGTGTGTACAATTGGTAAGAATTAAATGCTGAACAAGTTACCGTTGATCATACTTCTTGAAACAATGAGGCATTATCATTACCATCCGTAAAACAAATATGATAGAAAAAAGGTTTTGGAATGAAATATATAGAGATAACGAACATGCAGTATTCAAGCTCAAAAATTCATAAAACATTATTCAAAAAGGAGCAGAGCGAACACAGACCTCCAAAACATCAGAGGTGGGATCAGGTGCCATGGATATGTATGCATCTCCTGTCGACCGGTCACACCCGCCGTGTGCTCCTTGTCATCACCGGGAAATATCGGAAATGGTTGATGGGCCTTTGAGTTTGTATACTGTTCCTTATCTCCATATATTTCATTAACTGAGCTTGAATAATGTATGTCATCTCCAAATATTTCATTTAATGAAATATATGGAGAAAACGAATATGCAGTATTCAAGCTCGAAAAGCAATTAAACAAAAAAAATAGGAGCAGAGCAAATACGGACCTCCAAAACATCAGAGGTGGGATCAGATGCCATGGATAAGTGAGCATCTCCTGCCGACCGGTCACACCCGCCGTGTGCTCCTTGTCATGATTGGCAAGTAACGGAAAAATCCGTTGACAATTCATTGGGTAAATAATGGCCTAACAATAAGTATAAAAACGCCAGTCATCATTTGAATCAATGTTAGTTGTATTTGCTGACCATAGAACTTACGAAATGATGACTTTAAACGAGACTGCTGATATTATTGTTTCAGCAACTTGTTCGTCAATAACTCACCTCGTTTAGAAATTGTTCATACGTAGAACATGTTCTTATGTATTGAATCAACTGAGAGATATATGCCCCGTATGAAGGTGATGAAGATACATTGTTGCATAAGTAAGGAAAGTTGACAATTGAAAAGTTAAAGTCATCACGTTCATTTTTTAATGCTGATATACTAGTATTACTTCATTTGTAATTTTTAAAACCATCGTTTTATAAATGCCAGTCGTTGCGTGTAATATGATGTGGTTTATGAAATATAATATAGATCAAAAGATAACGACTTGAAGATTTATCTGTTCTTTCTCCTTAAATTGACACAGCTGTGGAATACGACGTTGTATTAAAAATTTAGAATTTGATATATATTTTGTCGTACTTTATCTGGAATTCTAGGATATAGTTAACCAGAAAGGTACAATTTACAAAAAAAATTAAATTAAGATTAAAATACACCAACTGTTATTTGAAGGTGAAACTAACAGCCATGCTTTTTGGTCACGTGACATGATTTCTTTCATTCAGATAATAGTTAAATATGTACCACATGAAACACATTTAAGGACTCAGTATTAACCCTGTATGATCACTGATTGTTTCCTTTGAACTTGTCAGATTTGTTGTTGCATAATGATTTGAAAAAAGGATTTTAAAAAATTGATTCTTTTGAATTAACATATGTGTATGATTTGAATTATTTGGCAGTTTTTCACTAATATTTGGACCGAATTTTCCTCTTATTTTAAAACAATAATAAAAGAGATGTCGAATATTTGTTTATAAATAACAAGTATGTCCAACGTCTTTTCTCAATTTTTTTTAATGATATTCTACAGTTTTTAGCTCACTAGCATTGGTTATATCCCTTAATGATCAATTCATAGGCTTCCGCAAAAAAATTATTTCATCTTTAATTTATATATATAAATATATTCGACCCCATTTTATAAATATACCTTATTGCGGTTAACCCTGCGTCAAATGATGATTGACGTTTTTAGTACTAATTGTTAGGCCATTCTCTACATACTGAAGTGTCTTCGGATTTGTCCGTTTCCTCCGATCATGACAAGGAGCACACTGTAGTAGGACCGATTGGCAGGGGATACTCACTCCTAAATGGCACCTGATCCGACCTCTGATGTTTCTAGAGGTCCGTGTTTGCCATGCCCCCAGTTCTTTTTCTAAAAATGGATTTTGAGCTTGAATACTGATCTTTTCTTCATATTTCATTTCAAAAGGAAATTGAAGAATTAAATATATATGAAGAAACCAATAAAAAGAAAAAATAATCAAAATTATTGTCTTTGATTTCCTATTATTTATTCTATAATTGACTCTAAACGTACTCTTTTATATTCATTGTTAAAGTGCTCTTTAATTGTGTTAAAAATATGCAAAAACCTGATTATCTTTACATTTCAAACTTCATCTTGGTGGATATATTTGACAGGTAAAAGAATTTGAGGATTATTATTCGTCGACACTTCAAGAAGAAATGAACTTATACGGGAGGCGGACATTTTTACTTTTTATTTGGCATCCCTCCTTCAGACATCTTGTCGTCAATAAAAAGGATTATGTTTCAGCATTTGCTAAGAGATGACGTTTGAAAGCTAATCACATTAAGTTTTGCAGTGTTCAATAATTTTAGTCTTGCTGCTGTAAGAATAATTTTGCATATTTTTGTTAGATATTCACATTGAAAAAAGTTTTAAAAGCTTTGGACCAATAAAATTTTCTTTCATTATGCCATTGCTAGCCACATTGACGTTATTTCTCTAAAGTACGCGCATGCTGTTAAATCCCTGAATGATTCTTTAATTCGTTTTTTAAGAACCTCTCTCTGGCAGTGAAATAAACCCACAATTAAAAAAAGAGAGTGAAATAAAATTAGTTCAATTTGTTAATTTTTTTTTCGATGAAAGCAGATGCTCTCAACTATAAATTTAAAAATAGCGTTGCTAAATTTTTCCTGTACAGTACACAATGTATTGAATTAATGTCTTCTTTCTTTACGAGATAAAAAAAAAGACCTCCCTGTGAATCTCCTAACATTTCCATTATTTAACTCAATAAACTCTACATCTTGCTGTTATACTTTCGATCCTGCTAAGGCATAACTATAGTTTAATTTGTTTGGTTGGGTACTTTTCTAATAATAGCTATTGACAAGTTAAACATACAAACTATTTCCTAGGGAATTTCCCGACAAGCCAGATGTCTGAGAATTCAATAAGCGATACCTACGCCGTGCCCGCGGTCCGGTAAGTGGATGAAGAGCAGGCTGGACGCTACATTGGAGATGTGATGTATTATAAGTGTAAGATTCTGAAGTCTTTATTGCCCTGCGATTCGACACTTTGGAGGTTCGTTATGTGTGAATGTTGTAACGTTCATAAACTGGTATAATGGCAGGCTTGGGCCGTCATGTCAATTCTACTTTAGAACTTCGGCGAATGCTTAAATTTTTGTGCGTGGATAATTAATTCAGTGCATCATTTCCATTATAAAGGTTCGGAAATCTTGGTCCATTTTACAGGCTTTTGGATCCTATTTGCTGTACATTGAATGCTCTTCAGTGTTTTAACGCTGTTCTTCATCATTTTAAAGAAAAGGTTTGAAACAAAAAAATCTATTGATATGAGCTGTTGGGAATAGAATGGTAGATCATATTTTCATTTAACATGGTATGAGTTCAGACGGCGGACCCTGAAAATATTTCGTCCAGCGGTAATTTGCTGGTTCCCGGACTGCCTGGAGATTGGCTCTCTGATTACTGGTGCAGTAAACCCCTGTGGGGGGCGCTAGGCCGATGGACGGGCACTGGTTCCCCGCTCTTTACACGGTTGTACTCTCTCTGTCGGGTAAGTATTTATAGTAGCATATTAATCTAAATATTTTTACTTTTCCTTGAGAAAAAATATCTGTTTTTCTTCGTTTTTTAATCTTTACAACTTTCATTATTTCTGAGGATTGATCGGAAACTGAACCACTTAAAATGTAACCAAAAAAAAAAATCAGCTGATGAAAAGAAAAAAAACTTATATATAGTTTTTCTCAGTTTTCAAAGTACGTTACATTTGATTTACATAATTTTAAGTTTCAATTTATTACCTGAGAGAGGAAACCAAGAAGGTTTAGAATGTCTTCTTTCACTGATTGAAAAAAAAATGTTATGGTTTTATATATTTCTGTTAAATCAACATTTCACAAAGAGTTGCTCCACTGTGAAAGTAATATTATACCGGTATAATAAATCCCGACCAAAGCGGCATAAACGATTGTGTCACCAAAGTAAATATGTATAGTTCTTTAACTATTATGTATCAGTGGTGTCCATACTCCATAGATATTCTATAATCTTCAGACATCTTTAATTTGGCGGTGTGTTTCGGCTTTTTGCAACCCTCCAACGATCCCAGTTTGTCTGGAATGCGAGTCGCAAAAGGAACCTGACTGGAAACTTTGATAAGGTTTATGCTTCCAAATTAACTCAAGGATTTGTGTGAAGATTCACAAAGATTTCACACGTCGATTAAAAATCAATATAGTTTTCTCTATCTCCTGTAATGGGATTAATTTTGTATTGATGTTTTTTCTAAAGAATATACTTTAAAAAGTTGAGGTCTGTGGACTATAGAGGATAAAAAGTGTGTTGTCAAATAAATTTGGGAGAAATTGGAAGGTTTGTAAATGTGCACATTATAATGTTCTGTTTGCGTTAATATCTGGATTTGTAAAAAACATACAATATGTAGATTTGCATTGTAATTTTATTGGAAATGCTATCTTTATAAGTAAACATTGAACATAAATGCGCGAAAAGCTATTAGCGAAATCAAAGTTTTATTTAGGAACAACAAAGATATTATAAATCAAGCAAAATTGAAAAAAATCATGGAGATAAGGAACAAAAATTTAGCTAAAAATTCCAATGACACAATACAAATATGGATTAGAGAAAACATGGACCTTTGAAAGCATCAGTGGTGGGATCAGGTGCCATAGCAGATAATATAAAAAGAAACTTTGTCGAGAGGTAACAATAAATTTTACTCTTTTGCTTAATTTGCACAATTCCGAAATGATTCAACACGAACACCACTTTCTAACTATGTATTGATGGACAATGACACATTTATAATGCTATAAAAATCTAAATCGTTAGCTTCCAAGGCGCAGCTGTAACTCGTAATAATGGTCATTAGTCTGAAATTCAAAAACTATATCGAATACTTACTTTTTCAAAGACTTTGGGAAAATATTTATTGATGTTTAATAAAATTATTTTCTTGATTTAATGTTTTCTTTTGGTAGAAAATTAATAAATAAATAAACATATGTCTATTGACAACCGAATATAATTTCTGTGTAACTTACAAGGACTAACAAACACGATGGAATTTCAACCGTGATTGAATCCTAATTATTTTCAGATTTCTGGGTGTCGAACTGGACTCATGCTGTCTACAAATGAAGATTTAGGGACCTACTGGTCCCCAATCGATGGGCCCTGACAATTACAAAGTCGGGAATTATAGCTTGATGTAAATCAATCTGTTGCTAATCTTTATCTAATTTAGACAAAATGAGTCGAAGACAGTTATAACAGGAAAAAAATCCTACCACTGGTGCCTAATTTAGAGTTTTATTAGGTTATATGGAGAGTTAGTTAACACAAAGGGCGCTGATCTTTGAGGGCTTATAATGGAATCAATTTTTAATGTTTGTGAGATGGCTCTGGTAATTGATCTGTGATCGTTAGGACTCATTCGGTCGCCATTATTTGTACAGTGCCCCTCCAACTTTTATCTCCTTCTTATTGCTTTAATGGACCTTCTTATTACTGGTAATTGAATGAATTTAAGTTATTTCTCTTATGAACTAATTAGGTATTCGGCAAGTTTTCATATCCCTATTTTGATATGTATTATTTTAGTAATTAACTAAAAGCGTTTTTTAGTAAATAACTAAAACGTTGATCATTTAGCATTTAGATGACTTTACATTAGGTTTCTAAAAGAAATGAAGCAAAAAGAGGTTTAAACAAAAATGTACATATGTATGTTTTGAACTTTTCAAGCAGCTTGTCAGTTCCTTCGATAAAGAAGCTTAAATGATGACTTTTTTTATTCTTTGAGAATCAATACGATAATCTATGATAAATTATAGACATATATTTAAATAATTATATATTTCACAGTTTTGGGCAAAATATACACGTCGTAATAAATATCACAAAATGCACTGGTGTGAATTTAAATTTGTTCATTTTAGACCGTAAATGAAGAACAAATTTTCTAGCGAATATAAAAAGTATGTCTTTAAATAATTTGTCTATGTCAGACCTGCAGAGGGATTGGGATAGGACAGAATTTGGACCAAAAAATGTGAAAGTTTTCATCTTGCTCATTTTCTGAAAATAAAAAAAATCAAAATGGTTTCTTATGTTTTTTTTTATTTAACAAGAAAGACAGGTTATTTATTTTCACGTTGTAATGAAGTTATATGTCTTATCGTCAAAATATTTGTTGGTAAGATATTGGCTAATATGGTAATGAAATTAAGATATAAATTCTATGGTCGATACGATAACTTTGTCAGCATTGAGTAAAATGTTGACTGACGGTTTTCATAAACAATTTATTGTCATAATTTTCACACTGAGCCGTTTTTCTTATCAATAATTTGAATAGCTAACGAGCTTGGGTAAAATAATATATGGTTATTTGGGAATCAGAGTCAATTTCTCTGTTCCATCTCTGTGCGCTCGTCATCTTGAAGTGAAATTTGTGGGTCCTTCGGATGTGACCTTAAAAAACCAAGGCCCGCTGTCATTGTAGGCGTTGACACAATAGAGAACCCTTGCTGCTCAATGGCAGTGATTGCCGAGTGAAGATCTCTATATTTCACCGGTATATGGTGACGTTCCCATATGAGTGAACATTTTCGAACGGGTCGTAAAACAGCATTTTATAAATCATTTTTTCTCTTGCCTTTTCTTTTAGAAAAGCTACAGGTAGGAAACTTGGTCCCTATTAATAACTGTACTCAGTACCACAAGACCCTTGCTGACAATACATAACCACATAAAGTTTTGATATCTAATGACAATAGGAAATGTGTAGATATCGAACATGGACCATTCTCAAATATCTGTCTTAATAACCGACCGGTAATAAATTAAAGATGATTTCTTCACGATTTTCTGATTTAAATGAAAAAAACCCTTGGATTGCTTTGCAAAAATGCTCACTTGTTTCTTATGACTTTTTATCCTTTATTTAACAAGACAGGTTAAACTGGAGAGCTAGAACTTTAAGTGATTTCACGTTGTCTTCAGGTTGATCAGTACGATGATATTTTTCATTATTACATGTAATGTCATAATCAGTGACGAGAAGTGGGAGAATGAAATATATGGAGATAACGAACGGTATTCACGATCAAAAGTCCATAAAACAATACAAAATAGGAGCAAATCAGATTTTTTCATTTACACGAGTATAGGAATTTAAGAGCAGTCTATGAATTATGGGTAAAGTTTTCCAGAAAGGCAACAATTGCTTGTTGTTTCGCAGGACTGTAAGACAAGAATCGGCTGCTGGAATTACATTGTGTGAATTTACGATCGAAAATCATCTTAAGATTTGCCATTGATAGAAAAGGAGTGAGGATAATTTGATCAAATAAAACTGTGGGATGATTACAAGCTATGTCTGGATTGTGGAAGTCCTTACAGACAGGGTAGTAGAGTATGACAACATCTATTTGTCTCTAGAAGGAATACAACTGTCAAAAGGCACACTTCTTATCCGAAAATCGAATACATAAAGAGATAAAACAGTGATTGTTTTCACGAGGATTTTAATGCATATTGTATATTTAATAAAATATTCATGCAAAAATCGGGTATTTATTCATAAACCTTTTAAAGTTAACTTAAATTTTTATAGTAATCAAAATTTCATTTCATTTTTTTTTGTTTGGTATTTTCAATATCTAGGAAAATTATTGAATTATTCAGAAATGTTTGACATCCCCGTAAAATTTTATCAGTGGCCCATTTATCGATACGAATTCTAAGAAGTTTACAGGGATGTTGATAGTTTTCCAACAAAGCTGAATAAAAATGAAGTCTTCCTGAATAGCTTAATAGTCGTGGTACTCTAGAATTATCATCGTGATTAACCCATTATCGTTGATATTTGAAAACCCTTTAACAATACAAAAAATGCGTTCTGATTTTATCTTTGGGTGTTTGATGTATAAAGTCAAAAACATTTCAAAGATTTTATTCAGTTCTAATGAAATATTGGTTTGAAAAACAGATATGTTTCAAATAATTTAGCTTAATAATCGTATGAAATAAAAACAAATGATTAATCTGTTATATACTTCATTTGTAATAAATACTTTGTAAAGGAAAAGGAGGTTTTTTTCAGTAATGGAGGATATGGAGATAACGAACAGTATTCAATATCAAAGTCCATAAAACAATACAAAATAGGGCAGAGCAAACACGGACCTCCAAAACATCAAAGGTGAGATAGGGTGCGTGTGGCATGCGTGTTACATAATATTCTTTTTTTTTTGCAGGAAATATTCACTATGTAAACTTTTATGTCCTTATATCTCTACATGTAATCTTAAGCTTTCATGAGTTTTCTCAAGTAAATCAGAAAGACAACACGGGGAGGTACCAAATTAAAGATTATATATGGTCCACTGCATGCTAATAAAATTGTTCGCCTTTTCAATTCAATTTATCATTCAATCCCATGAAGTGCGGTGATTTGCACGCGAGATGGAGTTGTGTGGAGTGCCAGAATATTTGCATTCAGTGCGTTCGATCTGCTAATTT